AAAAGCTAAAATTGCCTTTGGACTACTTCTTATTTTAACTGTAGATTCTTCAAAAATACTTTTGATGAGATTTACTAAATACTAAAATCAACTTTTACTGTAAGTAAAAGTTGATTTTGGAATCAAAAAACAATACCAAACCCAACCAAAAGCTAGCAACAACACGCTTAGAAATGTGAAAGGATGATGAACCACAACTTTTTTTAGGCGTGATTAAGGGCCCTGCATGCTTAGATTCATCCTCTATAAGTTAAAACCTCGCTTCTCATACAAGATGGATCCCGTCGTTTTATTATTGACGGGTTTGTTTTTGTAATAATGAATACCCTTGACAAAACACGTCACTAAGAAGTAAGAAACATTGAATCATAATTGGGGATTAGAGGAAGTCTCTAATTGCGTCTTATGTGACTCGAATCTCAGACTTTACGTACTAAACTAAACCCAATATCAATCGCTACTACCTGATGGTAATTATTTTCTCTCTCTTAGATGACGTTTAGTTTATATATTCAGAATCATGATTCAAAATTATTTTCATTTTATGTGTATTTTTTATGAAAAAAAATATTGTAAAAAATCATAAATTATAATTTAAAATTAAAAACGAATATAGTAAATAAACGTTCCCATAAACTTGATAACTATCACTCAATTTAGGAAATATTCCCTGGAAATGTCTTTTGGATTTTTGTTAGATATGAGGAAAATGGTACAGGGTGTCAGAGTTGTTGGATTTTGGGCGCTGATTCTCTGGTTCTTGTCTTACCCTATTATTTGTGATTTGAGTTCTCTTGGGAGATTGTTGCACAAGGGATTTCAAGAGAAATAATCTTTTTTAAATGATGTTTTTTATAAATGGCTGAAGTTTTGTAAAATTATAAAAATGGTTATTTTCATTAATTTAGTGATTAATCATTAATTAATTAGCGGTTAATCACTGATTGACGTAAATTTATCACTGATTAACTCGATTATTATGTATTATTAATTAACATTAGTTAATAAGTAACTAAAATTAATTAGTAATTAATCAATTTTAATCAACAAATTACATGTTTATTAATGATAAACTATTAATAAATTAATAATAAATCGGTCAATTATGATTAACCGTGAGTCAATCACTGATTGATCATGGTAGTCAATTACTGATTGACTTATGCAAATAAAACGGTCATTTTTGTAAAATAAAAAAATTTCAACGGAGATTTTAAGCTCCGTTCACTTCGTTAATTCGAGTTTAGAATTCAAGTTTTTCTACAGGAAAAAGCTCTCATAAACAATCACATCTAACTTTTTTGCTACAGTAAAAAGTTCTCACATAAAGTCACATCTCAACTCGAATTCTAAACTCGAATAAGCGAAGTGAACGGGGCCTAAAAAAGACCACCCCTCACAATTTCAAAAAACGGTTGGCGTCAACGATGAATAATCAAAATCAAAAACATTTGACGCCTACGTCCTTGACCGTCACGTAATTATAAATGCTAGTTTACTCGTGTGCGGCTCACTGTACATAAGATATTCAGAATTCCTTATTATATACATTTTTGTTTAAACAAAAATCGACTTACCCTCAAATAATTATGGTCAACGTGGACAACATTGATCAGTTTCAATAGGGGAAAGTGATTTTGTACAAAGGGATGTTTTCAAACGCAGAATTGAGTCGAGTTATGTTGGAACCGTGTTAAAGTACAAATTTTGCCCCTCTTGGGTATATAATATTGGAAAAATGTTTAGGGATGTCTATGGTGGGATTTATTTGTGAGCTCACTATACGGAACTCATTTTTTATTAATGCATGCGCAGCATCATCCTTGATCTAACATTATTCATAATATTGTGTTTAGAAGGCAAATTACACTTTTTGGTAGTCTAATCTCCGGGATTTAAAAACCCAAGCTTTGTAAGAGTACATTCTTAATTAAGTACTCAACTTTAGTTACATAGATACTAATTAATGGAAAAAAAAAACTCTAGTTATTAGTCTTTGCAGGGGTTGTTCTTTTGGAGTGTAACTTGAGTGTAGTTTTTGAGTTGAATTTGAGTTATAACTTGAGTTGAAGTTATAACTTGAACAAAGTCGAGTAAAATTGAATAAAGTTGAAACTTAAAATAACGTAAATTTAAATAAAATTAAAACTTGAGTTGTCTTTTTTTGAGTTTTATGGACAAAAGAACATGCCCTGAATTTTTGACAGGATTAGATCAAAAAAAGGGGGGAACAGCTGTCTAAAGAATGGTTATGAACAGTTGAATGAAACCATGAACTTTATATAAAACAAAAACAAAAATAATAAAAGCAAAAACAAAAGAAAGAAAGCAAGAAACTAATGAAAACTTTGAACTATAGATTGAACACAAATTAAATTAAGGTTATGAAAGAAAAGAAAGAAACGAACAAACAAAGGAAGAGAGAGAGAACTTAATAATGTGAATTAAGAACATGTTTGGCCGGTGAGTGATGAGATTTTTTTTTTCTTATCAAATTTGTATATGTATTGAAATTTCAAAACTGTACAAGCTATTATTAATCTTCTCTATGCATATGCCTTAATACTTTGGCTTCTTATATATGGGAATTTTAATTCTTTTTAGTCTATTATTATTATATTAGTATATATATCCATGTGAATTTTGTCCTCAATCTTTATGATGGATATTCAATTATTATTGCTTACAAATAAATTACTAGAGCGAGTCAAAAGGGGCTTATAATCTAATACCATTGGTGAAACAATACAATAAATCTAATTAGACCAAGTTCTATTGATTATATTTGAAGATTTATGGTATAATCGGAAAATATTAAGTAGAAGCAAAATTGAGATAGAGCCCTTAAAGTATCGAAAGTATCAAAGGAATATATGATAATGCGTGTGAATTAATTATGGTTATTTTGTGAAATTTTACTATAATAATTGACCTGTAAAAATTAAGATGGAATTAATATTGTCCCTTGTGTTCAGTATTGTTTTTACTTCTTCTTTTTGATTTATTTTAATAAAAAAATAATTATGACTAAATAATTAATAATTTAAAGATGACTATTTTCCTTTTTTATTGGGTATTTTGTTGGGCAGGAAATGAAATTTGGATGGAAAGTTAGTTGGGAGCATAATTGGAGCCTTGGGAGCGGCGTTTGGGAGTGTAGATGGTATTGGTGGATGGGCATCTAGTCATTGGGTTTAATCCCAAGTCTTCAGTAGCTATGTCCAAATGAAAGACTAAATTATTGTCTCTAATTAATTATTTTAATAATAGCTTGGTTATTTGTTTGTACCTACAAATGGATATATTAACTTTTTATGCTATTGGTTTCTAAACTATTACCATTGTGGCCATTTTGGTTTTTGATTTGAACGGAGCTATTCACATGACCAATTTTTTAATAGCCCTAAATAATATAAAAGTTGAAAACAATGGATTATTGTAATTTTCCTCCTCTATTACAGAATTTATCTTTAAAAGTGAATGAGACAAGATTTTTTTATCTCTCATTCTTAATTAATATCTTTTTACTAAGAGCATGTTTGGTGCACCTTATTGTATTGTATTGTATTGTATCGTATCTTATAGTATTGTATTGCATTGTATAATTTTTATACAATACGGTGTTTGGTTGGGAATATTATTAAACATTCTATTATTTTTACCATCGTAATCTATCTACGTATTAGTTTGTAATAAAGTAAAATTTAGGCCTAATTATAACCTAATTCGACTTTAATCTTGACCCGAACCTAATATTTGGAGGAAGCAAGAGAGAAAGTAGAGTTGCTGCATAGGGGTTTTTTGTAAAATAAAAAAGAAAAAATGGGGTTTTCAAAAAATTAAGGGGTGAAAATATAGTTTTTTTAAAAGTTGAGGGGTCAAAATGTAAATTTTAAAAAAATATAAACCCACCATCACTCTGGTCCTGAAACTTGACCCCAACGTCGGTGTCAAAACTCAACCCCGAGCCTTGATATTTGTGAAATATTTTATATGTTTTTGATATGGTATTTTAAGTTTAATTGCATAATACAGTCTAGTGCATATGTTTTTTTTATTAGATTTCACACTTCGTATTGTATTAATTTTGAATATCGTATTAAATTATACAATGTATAAATATCTCTAAATATTATATTATTATTAAACAATACAACGTGGAGTGCTTATACAGTGTACTAAGCATGCCTTAATATAATTATTTAACTAAAAAATTATTAATTAGGATTAAGGGTAGAAATTCTAACCCCTTTTCTCTTCTTTTCAAATGTAGAAAGCCCAGTACCCAATAGCCAAGCCCAAGAGGAATGTCAATGTCCAAGCCCAACCCATCCCAAAAAGAGATCCCCACTCTGAAAATTCCATCTCTCCGTCTCTCTCTCTCTCTCTCTCTCTCTCTCTCTCTTCCGAGCTCTGACCTCTCATCTCTGGGAAGAAGAATTGTAAAGGTCTCTCTCTCTCTCTCTCTCTCTCTCTCTCTCTCTCTAGAGTTTAGACAGAGAAAGAAACGCGATGGTGTTCTACTTCAAAGCCCGACCGGAGGCCGGCGACTACACCATTTTCATGGGTCTTGACAAGTACGAGAACGAAGAGCTCATCAAGTATGGCTTCCCCGAAGACATTTGGTATTCTTCTCTCTCTCTTTTCCACCAAAATTTCCAATTTTTTTTCTTTATTTTAACAATAATTCAATGCAATTACTCCTTATGTTTTCTATCTCCCCCTTTTTCTGAAGGAAGCAATTGTTATGATTATGGCTTTTCGCAGTTCTGCTTATAATCTATTTTAGATCATTGTGAATCGTAATATACTTGTATTTTGCTCGATCCTACTGTTTATTTCCGGAGAATTTCTGGGCAAAATTTGTTCTTTAGGGTAATTTTCATTCGTTTAGGTCGTTATCTAATTTGGCACTTTGCGCGTATCTTGATCTTCACGGAGATATGTATGAACTCTACGTTTGTACCATATATCCTTGTCTTAATGTTATTTTATTTTTGTGCCCACAAATTTGTTTAATTCGAATATACATATATATATATATATATAGACGAGTTTTCAGTTTTCTGGACGGTTACCCATCAAATATAGAAATTTGGTGACATGACGCGCGATAAGAGTCCAATCTCATATATATGTGTGTGTTTAGGATCAGGCTCTTTCTTAGTATTTGGATATAGTATGAACTTTTTAGTCAAACTGAATAGCATAGAGGAAAGACATTTTTTTTAGCTCAAGAACTTTTTTTTGCAGGTTTCATGTGGATAAAATGTCGTCTGCCCATGTTTATGTTAGACTGCAAAAAGGACAAACTATTGATGATATAAGCGAAGGTGTATTGGAGGATTGCGCTCAGCTTGTCAAAGCTAATTCCATCCAAGGTGAACTTTGACGGATTATTTCTGCTTCCTGATTTTTATTTTCTTTTGCACATCGGTAATTCGGTATGTTTATTTTAGATTGCTTAAAATGGGGGAAAAAACGTTGCTATTCAATTATTCAGCAATAGGCTCCTCACCAAATACTGCTAATAGAAATTCTTCATTCAGATAAGACTCACTATCATTATCATTATGATATTGTGGTGGTTTGCTGATGATTTAGGCATATTTGTGTATTTCACAGGTAACAAGGTTAACAATATTGATGTTGTTTACACTCCGTGGTCCAATTTGAAGAAAACTGCCTCTATGGATGTTGGTCAAGTTGGTTTCCACAATTCGAAGATGGTGAGCTACTGAGCTTCTTCCCTTATAGTATTCCTTGTACATCTATTGATTTGGTCATTTATGTGGAGAGTTTGATCTTTTACTTCTTTTTATACTTAATATAGGTTCGAACCGTGAAGGTGGAGAAGCGGATTAACGAGATAGTTAATCGGCTGAACAGGACAAAGGTGGAAAGGAAACCTGATCTGAAAGGTAAATTGCACATTCTCTGTCTCTCTGATTTTTATTTTTTCGTTTTAAAGATAGCTCTTGTTACAACTTACAAGCAAGAAGTCAATAAAAGTGGAGAAAAATTTGGGAATCTCACATGAAATGTAGCAAATTACTATTTTCCGTATCATCGTCTTCTAATTGTACATTAAATTCCTTATTGTATGTACTATGGATTGCTAATACGCTGCTCATTTGTTTATAAAATGTAATTGCAGCTGAGCGAGAAGCAGTCGGTGCTGCAGAAAGAGCAGAGAGAAAACAGCATCTGAGAGAGAAAGTAAGTTTTATATTGTTGTTTCTAGCCCTTTTCCTTTGTATTGGCCAACATGAGAATAATCGTTGGGACTGTTTTGTAATGGTTCAAGTAGCCAGTAAATAGCCATATGGATTTCGTTGTATAAGTCAGTAGTTAAGCGCTACGGTGGACTGTCCTATTAGATTTATTGACATCTCGTGCACTTTTGAACAGTTGTTGTATTTATAGGCTCTTTGTTTTGATATCTAACTGCTCTTAGATTTATTACAACTTACTGTACGTCATGTCTTTGTATGTAATGCCTCACATTTTTTGGCAAAACTTATTTTGTAATGAAAATCTTTTTGCAGAAACGACGCGAAGAGATGGAAAGACTTGAAAAGGAGAGACAGTTAGAACTGAGGAGCTACAAAGGATTGATGGTTTCCGAAAATATGACATCTAACAAGCAGATAGCGGCGACGAGCAAGTCCCTGCAGGAACTGGAAGAGGACTTCATGTGAGAATTTTGTTTGTTTTCATGGGAAGAGGCCATAGCAGCCCCGATAACCAGTGTCTGTCATTAAGTTTGTGATTCTAGGGCAAGAATTTGTCCCGTCCCAGCCTGTTCTGAATCTGTTAACCTGTTAAAACGGTAAAAGTGTTTGCAGCATCAAGGCAGGAAAAGGGACTTGTCAAAAAAAAAAGGAGGAGATATTTATTTTTGTTCTTGTGATTGGATGATGATGATAAAGGATAATGGGTCATAACCCGTGCTTGTCAAATTTGTCAACGGAGATTGGGCCATATATGTTATATGTTTTTAGTTTATATCTGTTTCCCTTTCTTGGTATCTCCCTGCTCGTGTGCTTATTCATGGATGAAGCGAGTATCTTGCAAATTTCTGTCTAGGCGTTCAAAAAGTTAAAATAGCATTGCAAGATGTGTTTCGTTGGAGTTCAATTAGTTATCATGTTAATGTTGAAAAATGCATCCCCATTTTAACTCATCTATTCGGGTATTCCATAAAAAATTTTGGGAAAAGAAAGTTATGCTCATACACTTGAACTTGAGAGTAGGCATATGTTTGGGGTGGGGATTATTAAGTGGGCCAACGTATGTGTGTGACTCTTTGAAGTAAGGGTCTGGTTTGGGGTGTGGATTATTGAGTTCAGCTTGGGTGGTGTTTAAGAGGTTTGATTGCTTCTTTTTTATTAGTTGTGACTTTTGTTTCAGAACAAGAGACTCTAACACTATGTTTGGTAGAGTGGAAAAGGAGAGGAAAGAAATTGAAGGATTGTAGAGAGGAATATAGAATTTTAGGCTGTTTGGTAGAGATGGAACAGGAAAGAAGGAAGTTGTAAATCTGTGGGGCCTACAACTTTTCATTCCTTCCAACTTTATGACGAAAATATGAGGGAAAAAATTTAACAAACAAAAAGAATGTAAAATAATTATTGTATCCTTAAACCATTCACTATATTTTTATTTGTATAAGCATATTATTTTAAAATAATCTAAATTTGACATTTTCTTTTCACTTTTCTTTCTCTTCCATCAAACAACATGAATGAAAACCTCATTTCTACCATTTTACTTCATTCACTTAGGTATTTTACTTTCCTTTTTATTCCTTCCCTCTTACCAAACATAGCATAAGTTCGTCCCTAGGCCTTCTCTTCTAAGTGAAAGAGCATGATGTCAGAGTATACTTAGCCTCCATTTGGTTTGCTGGTTCGAATTTTGTTGATTTGAACTTTTTTGTTTGAACAGAAAAATTCAAATTGTGTGATCTAAATTGTAGTTCGAATTGGCGTTTGGATGTGCAGTTAAAATTTTAATTTGAACAGAGATAAAAATTGAATTAGTATTTGGTAGGTGTGAAAAACTGAGAGAGTGGACACCTTTTTACTATTCAAAAATGATTTGAACGGTTTAATTTAAAGGGAGAGCTAAATTCTAAGTTGGACAGCTTAACTCAATTCAAAAGGGGAATATAATTTGGATTGTGTGATTACCAAACACAAGTTTAAACTAAGCTCATTGTTCAAACTAAGTTAAACTAGTGAAACAAACGGGGGCTTAAACTTGAGGGGAAATGCTAGAAGTAAGGTTCTAACCGGGGCATGCTTGGGATGAATTTTTAGAGTCTAATCTTAACCCTTAAGTGACGTTTAAAGATTTGATTGCACCTCTTCTCTCTATCCGTAAGAAGTGAAAAGTCTCTACACTCCTATCCAAAACATTTTTTTTCTTTCCTAAACCTACAAAATTTATTAGGTTTATTTTATGGTACATGGGATTCGAATATTAGACCTCGACATTGGACGTGGGTGTGAATTTTGTTGGTTGCCGAATCGAATCCGGCTGCGGAAGCGCGG